GTCTCCTGAGGCTGGAGGCAGAGGTAGAAGAGTCATATAGAAGATGTGTCATGTGGCCAGAACAGAGAGGACTTGCAGTGCTGGATGTAAACAAACCCTGCAGTCCGTGGCCATCGGATCCCAGTAAGTATGCATCTGTGGAAGGAGAAGGTGGGGTTATGTTGCCAGTTCAGCCAGTATCAGTATTCATTTACATGAAAAAGCAGCCCTTGAGCACCAGTCAAGAGACTGTCCTTCGGTTGCGATGGCATCAGTCCCATGTAGACAGTATGAGTCATGGTTCACACCTAGGAGTTTTTGAGCAGTTCGAAAAGCGCTTTTAACTGCCCAACACAAGAAATCTCATGATTTTCAATGGCCCTGGTTCACACCTCAGCAGAAAAACACCTAGCAGAAAAATGCCAGACGCCTGATAAGATACCGGAGCTTCTTTGGGCAGTTAAAAGCGCTTTTCCTCCCCCTAGACTTCATTGGAAATGCCCAAAATTGCACAACAGAAGCATGTTGCGTTTATACGCGCGTTCTTCCATTGCCCACAATGGTTTATGAGCTGCCAATCAAAATGTGCGTCTTCATGTACTCGCGTTAAAACGCGCATACAAATGTGCATAAACGCGCAAATAACCGCATGCTGCTAACGCGCGTACAAACACGCAGAAACGGTGCCGCCTAGGTGTGAACCAGTGCTGAAGCTTTCTCTCAGTCCATTCTCCACCATAATCAGACTGCAACAGTGTAACTTTGTAGTAGGATACAAGGTGAGGGACTGCAGCAGAGGATGATCCGTGTTAGAAATTTGCGAACGCAGCCATGTACTGCACAGGCACCAGGATTTACATAAGTGTTTAATCTGTCAGCATTTCAGTCAGGGAAACAGAAGGTGAGTCTGGATGGTGGTTATACAAATATGGCAGAGGGGTCCAATATAGTTTAATCCATAAGGAGCCATTAAAAGCTCACTGCATCCTTAAAGGAGAACTATGGGGTCAGTGTTTTTCCCCATAGTTCTCCTTGGGGTAACGGGAGGACACAAACTAGCGTCCTCCCATTACCCTAAGCTCAGTATACAGCGAGCTACAGCGAGCGGTATACTGAGACGCCGCACCTGGAGCGGATCCCGACTTAGATGACGGGATCCGCCCAGCTGCGTGAGTGACAGCTGGCTCTGCCTATCTAGAGGCAGAGCCAGCTGTACCCGCCCCCTCCCCCGTCCGTTCCGCCAGTCAGCGCTGGCAGATCGGAGCGGGGAGAGGGGAATCCAGCCCCTCCCCCTGTCATGGCAGAGAGCCGTGACAGGATCGAGAGGTGAGGGAACCCGGTATGTGTTCCCTCACCTCCCGATCTACTGAGCCGACCTGTGACAGTCTCATTGTCACAGGTCGGCTTAGAACTATGAGGTGAGTGGAAATCACTCATCTCATAGTTCTCCTTTAAATAGCACCTAAACTTTCCATTGACTCCGATGCATGTTTCACCAAAATGGTGCCAACATTTCTGTTGATGGTTAAACAAAGATAGCGGATGGGCTGTTATTTGGCACAAGAACAGATCCAGGATAGTTTTATCCATCAGGTTCCATTTAAAGCCCATTGCACCCTTAAACCCCAGCAAAATTTTCCATTGAATCCAATGCATCTCGCAATAATGGCGCAAACATTTCTGGGAAAAGTCAAGCTACATTTCACTCATTGCTAATCACATACTGTAAATATGCACATTACTTTAAAAAAATGTTTGGTGGTTAGAACAGTTTCTACCTATAAATACTAACTGTGCAGTTTATTTTTTGGACAATAATTGCCCTTTCATAGTGTCTATGATGTACATTATCATTAATTACCATCTGTTATTCATTTGACTTCTATTAAGGCATTATTATCATTATTATCATTCTAATTATTATTGATAGGCCTGTGTCAATGGGAAGCCAGCTGTTGCTTCACTCTAACAGGATGTAAATACAGAGAAATGTGACATTGAATTATTATTGCAGTTTAGTATGTAGCCACAGAAGATGATAGCAGTATACGAGCAGACCGCACTATCCAGAGAATTCCAATACTGCAGACTTTATTGAAATTCACAGCAAATCCAGTATAACAGTGAATAAGAGTGTATAAAGCAACAAATGCCAGCACTGCACACCCCCAACCAACTACAACCTCTGCAGTAAAGTCTGCCATTTGTTGGATAGTGGAATTCTCTGGACAGTGCGGTCTGTTCGTATACTGCTGCATTCCAAGGTAGAGACGCACCTATTAGAATAGCACCTGGGGAGTCCTGATGGTGGCTAAGGAATTGGAGCGGTGAGATTTCCTTTGGCTCTACACAGAAGATGATATTCATAGCCATACATAGGTAGGGAACACAAATCATCATTCAGCAATTTTTACCGTTCACCTGAATGTCTAATTCCATTGTTCTAATTGCTGCAACCTTGGATTATCACAACATATGTGCAGAAATGGAACATAATTAGTGTGTGGGTTTTGTCTCTCATTAGGACTGTAATCGCTATTTATGTTCTTATTACTGCCCAGGTTTTGGATGGTGTGAAATTATACCTGGCAAAGTTCATTGTAGAGTTAAACGAAATACGAGATTTGTCTTTTTATCCATCGCAGCTGTTATAACAATGAACTTGCTCCGGATGATTGTTGATTGGTTACCTACTATTAAAGCCCAATTTTTGGCAAAGCATTTTCTTTTCTTTTGTTTTAGAGTCGGGACGGATTACAACCCTCATTAGACAATTAATGCTCACGTGGCAGGAAAATGGAAAATCACACTGTGTGCTAGAAGTCCATAACCATAATATTTATTTCTTCATATAATTTAAGGCTATGCATTTGGCGCGCATTCACAGGCCTCCTTCATCAGGGCATGAATTGTTGATGGAGAAAAAAAATGGAAAGAAGTTGCTGAATTCTGGAATTATAAACAATATTTCTCTGTATGTAACACAGGTTAAAATACGTTGCTTCTAATTATAAGGAATCCATGTTTCCCTTCTTTATTCCATCAACAACAATCCAAGTGTCTTTTTTGTATTAAGGGAACTGTTTAACCCATTCAAACCTAAATACACAGGCCAAATTTATCTGCATCAGTTAACTTAACTAATAATCTTTGAATTATTTGCCTACCTACATAATTTTTGAAGGGTCTATAAGGGTCACAGCAACTCAGCCACTAAGTTGTAGGCCACGTAAAATGGCAGAGTGGGGTCAGCACATGCTGAAGCGCACAGTGCACAGTGCACAGAAGTTGCCAACTGTCTGCAGAGTCAATAGCTAGAAACCTCCAAACTTCGTGTGGCCTTCAGATTGGCACAACAACAGTGCGTAGGGAGCTTCATGGAATGGGTTTCCATGGACGAGCAACTGCACCCAAGCCTTACATCACCAAGTGCAATGCAAAGCGTTGGATGCAGTGGTGTAAAGCACGCCGCCACTGGACTCTAGACAAGTGGAGACGTGTTATCTGGAGTGACGAATCACACTTCTCTGTCTGGCAATCCGATGGACATGCCTGGGTTTAGCAGTTGCCAGGAGAACGGTACTTGCCTGACTGCATTGTGCCAAATGTAAAGTTTGGTGGAGGGGGGATTATGGTGTGGGGTTGTTTTTCAGGGGTTTGGCTTGGCCCCTTAGTTCCAGTGAAGGGAACTCTTAAGGCATCAGCATACCAAGACATTTTGGACAATTTCATGCTCCCAACTTTGTGGGAACAATTTGGGGATGGCCCCTTCCTGTTCCAACATGGCTGTGCACCAGTGCACAAAGCAAGGTCCATAAAGACATGGATGAGCGAGTTTGGGGTGGAGGAACTTGACTGGGCTGCACAACCCAATAGAACCTCAACCCGATAAAACACCTTTGGGATGAGACTGTGCCTTCTCGTCCAACATCAGTATCTGACCTCACAAATGCTCTTCTGGAAGGATGGTCACACATTCCCATAAACACACTCCTAAACCTTGCGGACAGCCTTCCCAGAAGCGCTGAAGCTGTTATAGCTGTAAAGGGTGGACCAACTCAATATTCAACCCTACGGACTAAGACTGGGATGCCATTACATTTCATGTGCGTGTAAAGGCAGGCGTCTCAATACTTTTGGTAATATAGTGTATATAAATATACTGTGTATAAGTATTAAACAGAGGCATATTGCCATGTAAAAGCTTGCAATTGCCTCTGCAAGCTGAATGCATGTGATCACCATTTCATTGCTATCATAGTGATCACATGATTGAGAATCACTCTGCTTTATGGTTGTAAGTGCAGACCAAAGCTCTTAGTGACAGCCAGGTTTGAGAGTTGATTTAGAATAATATCTTCTCAGCAAAGGACATAGTGCAGGGTGATGTTAATTTACAGAATGTGGGCAGAAATAGGTCAATATATAAGTTGGTATGCTATTAAGTTGTCATGTACCTGTATGAGGGCCCTGAAATGTCAAGGGTGGCCTCTTGCACAGGAGAGCAACATGCATGCAGTGCAGTACAAAGTCAGCAAGCAGAATCATGGTCAAAAGTCTAGGCCGAAGCCGTTAACAGAGGCAGTCAGCAACCATTGGCAGACAAGGGCAGGTCAGACAAAAGCGAGGTCAGTAATGAAGGTCAGGCACGAGGTTCTAGATCAGGGATCACAGGTCACAGCAATACAGCTATAACACAATTTAGATATGAGCCTATGCAGGAATTTTAAATAGCCTCTTTGGTGCCAATGTGCCTGCATGTTCACATACACACTGTACATCTATGCACAGAAGCATGCACACACTCATGTGCATATGCATAAATGCACATTTATATCTGTTTTTGTATTATTTAAATATCTACATATTCATAAGTTGTTTTTTTTATATCAACCTAAGAAAATATGTACAGTGAATTTTAAAAGTTTAGATTTATTTAGTCCTGACTCCTGACCATAGGAAAGAAGGACAACGCATGTACAACCACAATGAGTCACCTTTAATTCAGTTCCTAGGCTTACCTGTAATAATCCCACAGTAGCACCATTCATATAGGTCCAGAATGTTAGCTTGCATTTGGGTCCAGTGTGAGAAATAAGAGGAGTCATGACGTAAGCTGTGTGCCCAAATTCACCATTGGAACTGTCTGCATACAGGTACCAGCCTTCATCTGAGGACCTGGAAATCAAATGTTTATAGTTATTAATATGACTGCAGTGACAGCTTCTTACCTTTAAATCTATTAAGAAAATAGAGTGTTAAAGAGACCCCTTTGTCAGACCAATCATTTCAACAACAACCTTCCCATAGAAATATATGAGGAATTGGTGTATGTTACGCATGTAATTTACCTGTAAAACCCTCTCTTTTGTAAACATGCAAAAGGCCTGAGACTTCTGCTGGGGGCCGCTATCTTGGATGTGATGTCAACAGCCCCAGCAAGTTTAGGGCTGTCACCCAAGTGACACTTTATAGTATTTCCCTGTGCTCCTCCCCCAGCAGCTACATAATTTATGTAGGGAGGTTAGGGGAGGAGCAGAGGAGCTGGATTTTCTACAATCCTTTTACACTGAGATTGTGCACAACCAATCGCTGCAATAATACAAACAAATTGACATATTTAAATTTTTAGCACTTGCTTCATGATCCTGGATGGCTGGAATCATTCACAACTGCCAATGCAAAATTGCAGGTGATGCAACTCATTGCAACATTACTTTCTCATTGCCCGTAAGAAAACTGCAAAATATCTTCTAAAGTCCTTAAATAAATCTTCAACAAAACTAATATTTGGGGTCACCAGTAGCAGGCCTCCTATATGAACAGATTATTGCATCACAAATGAAAATCCGCCCGAGCCTTATCCTAAGTGTTCTAAATCTTACCACGCTTTGATAAACTGACTGTAAAATTTGTTAATTATTTTCTACGTGAGGGATTTTACTGGGAACTGGGGCCTAATTTGCACCCGCTAGTAAAACGGCGCTGATTCTTAAACAAATGACATTGATCCGTCGATGTGTTTTCACTGCTGACGATACTGTAAATTAACGAAAGGATAGTGCTTATTGGCAGGCTTGTTCTTATTGGCTGAATTCATTATAGACGTGTCAACATCCCTGCAAACGCCAGATTACCCCAAAATGCTGGATGTTCATTACTCATTAAGGAAATGAAACTGAATTACTTCAAGTGATCTACAACACTGACTGTTTACTGAATGGAGCCATTAATTACGGAGCTCACTGACTAGAAGATGATGGCATTAAAAGAAGGGAAGCTCTGATAACTAATGCTTTTAAAGTTGTCCAGCTGTAATGGCCCCATTAGCCTAAAGGCTAGTTAATATGTATTAAATTGGAACAAATAGTGAAATATGTGGTTGACTTATGTATGTTTACTGTTTTAGCTGCCACTGAATTGGTAATTTTGGGTTCCTTGTTTAGAGTTATTACTTCCTGGGTCAGCTGCCTGCTTATTGGACAAAGGTGATTATGCTTAATTACTATACAGTGAGGTGGTTAGAGGGGGAAAGGTGACACAGGAAGTGGAGTGGCTGAGTCAGGAAGAAGAGTTGCTTAAAGTCTATTTTTGGGCTTCCCCTCTCCCCGGCTGTAGTTTATCATTTGTTTTTACTTACCTTTTTCAAATGCCTAAAGAAGAATGTCACCCGGTACAGGGAAAAATTAAAGTCAGAAGCTACAGATACTGTAGCTGCTGACTTTTAAAAGACACATGCTTACCAGCCTGAGAAGTCCAGCACTGCCTTCCTTGCACCTGAATCTTCCTATGTCTTCTTATCCTCCACACCGCCATCTTGCTTTTGGGAGCCAGCTATCACTTCCTGATCACTCACAGCTGACCCCTTACTGCGCGAGGGAGGTCATTTCAGACACTCAAGCCTCCCGAGATGTGCTATGCGATTCCAGATTGCTTGGGAAAGTGGGGCTATGGACTAGTGTCAATATCACCCTCGATTAGACAAAGAAGGAGGAAGTGGGAGCAAGTACCTTCAAAAAAAGTACACACTCCTCCCCCTGTCCCAAAATTACATGCGATTATGTTATAGGGAGTGGGGGGATTAGAAGGAGGGGAAGAAGAATTTAGGTATAAAGGTCCGAGTTAAGGTCGTGACATGGCATGCAGGGTCCTCTTCCTCTCTGGATTTTTCCTTACTGGGGTCAGTTTTGCTCTTTGCATTATTGTAGGTGAATGCAGGACACCTTTAGGGACGCTCCCTTCAGTCCATGATGCCGTGCCCTCACAGGATGTCCTCAGTCTTCCAGATTAAATGATGCTTACCATCATTCAACTTGGACTGAGGACTGTTGAATGATGAATTACTGAAGTGGACTGCTCTCAAGGGTAGGTGAGCTTGCAGCCAATGGCTACTTCTTGTAAAACACCTGCTGGGTCACCATTTCTTTTATCCTTCCAACACTAAACACCTGACACACTTCTCCAGGTGAGGCTAGTCCCCATTCTCCCCAGGTCCATCTCAGATGCTAGCTCGCTTTGTCAAGAACACCACACATTGGGATGCAAAATGATATTATTCCTTTATTAAACAGCCAGCAGGAACAAGCCCTATGCTTACAAGTTTCATGCTACGCACATCGCTTTCTCAAAGAAAAGATAAATACGTATTTTTATATAGATAAGTGCAACATGCATAAATCACAAAACCAGCTCTACAGAATTAGATATCCCTAGATTAGGTAAAACAGCAAACCTAAATGACTTTTACCTAAATATGTCTTTTCCCAGAATTTAGCTTTCAATTAAATATATAATTAGTACAAGGAAATGTATCTGTAGATATATAATAGTTATAGTCAGTGTAGAAGCTGGCCAGATATTTAACACAAAAACTGAGTACAGCTGACATCGTTTCAGGATCTAATACTTCAAGGTGCTGACCAAGAAAACATACATTGCATGCTATGCATAACGTACCACTCAAAACAGCAAAAAGAAAATACTTGTTAAGCAAAGTGCAGCAAAAATCAATACTACATTTACATTTTAGTGACCGCCATATACAGCTCTGCGTCTAAAGTAACAACTTCACAAGCAGCACACCGTAACAAACAGCAATATGATATTCCTATTGGCATATTTCACCGGTATGCACAAAATAAAATATTATGCCTAGATACAAACCCAACAATATGATCCATTCACTAAGGAATAACAAAGACAGTAGTTTCATCATAGTGCGTCATTCGCTGTTTTATACTGCCGAAAATGGTGTTAGCACTTCACTGAAGATTTTATTGTACGCGTCAGCTGAATTTACCACATACATGTTAAAGGAATTGATTTTTCTTCTATTGTGCATGTAAAAGTCAGTTCAAAACATTTATCACACAGGATTTTACTACTTAAGTGACACTAGACTCAGAAGTTCAATCTTAAAATAACAATCAAGAACTCTTAACTATTAATCAAAATGTATGTTATTTGTGTATCACTCAGCTGTAGATCCTCAAATCATCTCTGAATTGGTGCTGACACTGTCCTTCCTTCTGGATGGGGGCTACTTTTGTTCCCCATAGTCCCTGTGTGTTGTAGAGTAGTCACCGCTCCAAGCTCACTCCTGTGATGGACTACGATCTCAATACAAATTCCTAAACAAAACGCGAGACTGTAGTCCATCATGGGAGCAAGCTTGGAGCGGTGACTACTTTACAACACACACAGGACAAAAGTAGCCACCCTCCACAAGGAAGGACAGTGTCAGCACCAATTCAGAGATGATTGGAGGATCTACAGCCGAGTGATACACAAATAAGATATATTTTTGTTAATAGTTAAGATACTTGAATGTATTTTTAAGATTTAACTGAGTTTAGTGTCACTTTAATTATAATGCCTTATAATATCCCCAGTGATCTGGAGCTGTATTAATAAAGCCTGGTGATCCTGCTAGTCCATGGTGCTTCCTCTGCAGGGTGAAAACTCTATTCACGAAGCTGCCGAGGGATCTGGCCGTAGCTTCGGCCGATCCTTCGGCTAGCTTCGGCCCCAGGACCCCTTCGGTTCAGTAGAGGGGGTGCTGTATGGGCTATTCACAATAGCCCGTACAGCTCCCGATCATGGCCGAGCGGCTCAGTCGAGCCGATCGCATATGCATCGGCATGTTTCGCCTGCAGTAAACTCACGGCAACATTTCACCCTATGCAGTTGAGACCTGATGAATGCTAAAGAGAAGGGGCTATCAGTGCTGTCATCACTGATATATCTCCCCCCTTGCAATGAAGCAGGACATATTTCCAATGTCCTTAATTGTGAAAAAAGTAAAAGAAAAAAGAAAAAATAACAGGATGGCATTTGGGGTGGGGGGATACGAGTAGCCAGTAGTAGTAATAAAAAAATAATACAAAATGTATAATAGTCTAAAAATATCAATAATAATAAAATAGTAATATTAGTCTAATATTATTTATAATAATAAAATAGTAATAATAAAAATAATAATAACAGTATAATAATAATAAAATAATATTGATGATAATAATAATAA